GGGGGGGAAAAGTTGCCTTTTTTTTTTTTTTTTTTTTTTTTTTAGTGTACAGCTTGTGATGGTAGAGAGAGCAGGGAGCCTTTATTGTACTGATGTAATCTTCAGTCTTACATCCCAAAACATTCAGTGGCTAAGAGGGCAATGCAGTGGTTTGATTTTTGGTGAGTTAAGCTGTTTCTGTTTTCTCTTTTTTCTCTCCGTCTTACAGGGTCTGAGGGGAAAATAGTTACTCAGTAACCCTATTGCGCTCGCTATTGCCTGCTCCAAATAACTATGCTTCTAGCATCTTACATTACAATGTTGTTCATTTTGTTTTCAAAGACAGATAAAGAAGATGATACTTAGAGCGTGCTTAGGGTACATGTATTTATATAGATTTCTATCGAAAAAATATTTACCTAGCTAAAAATGGATTTTGATATCCTGCAGATTTCTGCCAGTAATATATATATTTTTGTACACTAGAAAAGGTGTTTACAGCATATTAAAGAATGCTTCCTCCTGCAGTGAATGTTTCCTTCTCTCTTCCCTGTTTTCTGCCTATGTACATTAATAATGTTTAGACAAGAGACTAACCTTGACTGTATTAGGTGTTCAAAACACCCTGAAAAACATCTGCACTGAGGGAAGTTCTCTGACTAAAATCATCGTGCTCCTTGTAGTAAGAAGACATCTAGAAAGTGCTTGTTGCACTAAGCAAACACTAAATACTTTCACAAGGCTGAGACAAAGACTAAATAGAATCTGAAAAGAGCACCTGATAATCACTCAGACTGCCAAATAGCTGAACTTAACTGCTAATCACAGACTAAAAAAAGATATAAACCGTACCAAATTAAAGATAATTTTATCCGCATGGGCAATACGTTTTTCTGTTGGATGAAGAACTGGACAGGTTCTATCATTCCTGACAATGGTAGTGCAGCAGTTCCACAGTGGTAGACAAGAGACAACTTTCACCCTACTGCACCACCCAAATTATTACATGCATACACGACATCTGACATAGCTGCAGATATATCTTTCACAGAACTAATGCCATCTGACTGGAGAACAATCTTTTTGTCTACATTTTAGCATTTATTTGTTTTGCAATTGACTTCCCATCATTATTTATGAAAATAAGGGATGCATTTCCCCATGGTAATGGGCTATTCCATTGATGTAATATCTTAAGCATAGCAATAATTCTGAGTTAAAAATGAGTACAATAAATCAAATATAATTTAAATGATTAAAATGATCCCCCAAATAGGAAAACAATTATGTTTCCTGAAAGATTTTCTATTACCAGAGTTTTAATTACTTTAGAGGAGGTTATGATGAATATATTCAAAACCAAAGAAAACCTGCAAAACAAAAGAAAAGCACAAGTTTTGAAAGGTGGTGGACCTAAATTATCTGAAGCAGCCAAGGACTGTGAGTGATTCAGTGATTAGACACTGTAGGGGTCTTTACAGGTTCAGATGGTGAATGTTTCAATAATTTCTATAAAAGAAATCAGATCCTTTTCAGATGGGCAGCCAAAATCCTAAGTCACTCCTGAAAATGAAGGCTGATTATAGGATTCACTTCAAACCCATGTACGTCATCAGTAATCAGTTGAAATTACAAATTAGAGACATATTATCAGCAGCCAAGTTAAATGTAAATTAGATAGGAGGAAAAAGAATCTAAACAGCATCACCTGGTTTAGAAGGAAAACAGAAAACAAAAATAGATCACTTTTTTCTCTTTTTTGCCTATTCCAATTCAAGGCACTTGATAGGTAAACTTAATTTTATCAATTTATAATTTAGAAACAAGAATAATTCTTGCAAATACCTTGTAGTCAATGGAACTAATGAAATCTTAAGCTACCATCACAGGGAGGTACAAAAGAATATATATGGTTATTAAAATATCAAAACAGAGGATGCATTTATTAGGAAATGAATCTAATTGAAAGAATGCTAAAACTTGGTTACATGTTTATTATTTTTACTTTATTCATGTGCTGCAACAAGACATATGATTCTGTCAAATATTACATGCAGAAAACAGAAATAACCCACCTCATGCTATCAATGTTAAATTTCACCCTCATGGATGGACTTGTCCACCATCAACCATGCTGTATGAACCTGGGCAGTGAATGTTTCTAGTTACCTTGTGTGAAATCTCTGCCTTTTGTGGTGTAGAAAGAGTTTTCATGTAGCCTAACTTATATGAGTAGTATCAGTTGTGCTTTATACAATGAATGATATGGTTTGTGTGAGGTTTTTACTGCCTCTTTTTCCCCTTTTCAATGATTCTAACAGATTAGTCATCACTGGACACTCTCCCAGGTCATAGACAGAACATCCATGCACAGGGGAATGACTTTTCAAACATGACAAAGAAATGTAATAATGGAAGACCCACTTATGCTGCCTTTGAGCTGAATTGTGTAGTTCATGCTGTCTCTTATTGCTATTTCAGCACATGTTCCAGATTAAGTGCTCCTTCAAAACCATAAATGGCCAGGCATGTTCACCACTCTGCCCAGCTTACAGACCCCAGGTCTATGCATCTGTTTTAGCTATTATGGAAAAAAGTGGCAATGAAGGTTACGATTCCAAGCTCAATAAAGGTCAGAAATGAAAGCTATTGTGCTGTCAGTCAGCAATAAGGTTGGAGTGCTTTGGACCCACAAAGACATGCACTGGTATGGGCTGCCTTGCCCTGCAGGAAGCTGGTCAGCTGATGACTTATCTCTCTGCATGAGACCATGACCTTGCTATCCAACAAGCTCAGTTAAAACTGAAAACTAAAAAAGTTACGTTTTGATATTTTGTTTGATACTATTTTTTTTTTATTGTTTGATATATTCAGCTTTTTTTCATTGTTATTGTTATTTCAAAGATTTTTTTTTACTATTTCAAGGAAATTTTGCATTTTCTGATGAAATTTCTGATTGATAAAAGTTAAAAAGGAGGTTGGTTTTCTTCATTGAGGACTGCTGTTTGGTTTTGTTAAGTACTCATAGGAGCCTCTTCCAGCATATCACTGTTGCCTCTTTGCAACAGTATCACTGTATCTTTGGTATAAGTAATTAAAATACATAGGAACTCTGTGAAGAAGCTTGATTTGTAATGGGGAAAACCAACCAACAAACCAACCACCCAACCAACCAACCAACCAACTTTTCAGTGTTTCTATACTTACAAGTTTTGCAGACCTAGTAGCAGCATAATTGAACAGTAATTTTTTTGATAATAATTCTGCAAAAACTTGTGGAGGGTTAACTTTCAAACGTGAAAGTACCAGTAGGACTTCTTACACAATTTTAAGGAGATACAAGGAGATACAACTCACACAAGTTTAAGGAGATAACACATGCACAGAATTACCAATGTCCAGACCAGTGAGAGCCTTCGCTATGTTCAGAAAATTTGTAATCTTTGAAGAACAGAGAAAAGTTAAACAAATCTATGTGTTTTAAGTATTTCTGGGACAAGAATTTCTCATATCTTTGTATGATGTCACCATGGGCTCCCAGAAACAGTAATACGACTGATAGCTATTTCACAATGAAAGTAATACCATAACATTAGTCATGACAGAGAATAAAGGTATGACCTTTCAAAACTAGTAGCAGTTGGGATACTTACCAGTCTGAAGAATATTTGCCAAATGATGCTTTTTGTTACTTCAATATGATTGCTTGTTCTGATTACTGTTCTGTATAAACACAAGCCATACGTTCCATTCCTGTAGTTTGTAAATGAATAATTTTGTGAAAGTAAGCATTTGGGCTGTAATGTTTCCATGTTAGCTATGTCTTTCAGGGTTTGCAGTGGTGGTGGTGGTTAGGTTTGGGGTTTTTTTCCCCACTTTTGTTCAAATGTATGTCAACTATCTATGAAACCGACAGTGGAAGAGGAGGGGATTATAATAGAAGTTAGAAATAAGTACTGTTTTACCTTTAAGATCTTTTATGTGAAATACCCTCACAGTCTTACTCTTTGGATCATGGACACGATATTTTATAGAGTTATCATTTGTGTTTGAACATTGTACCTTTGTGAAAGTTCCCGCACATTTGGCCATATTCAAAGGTCTAAAAAAAAAAAAAAAGGGTTGCATATACTCAATAACAGCTCATATCCCTTAGAAGCCTGTATTTGTTCATCATGCCTAAACTCCCCACAGCCTTGAATGCTGACTAAGTGCATATATGGCATCTTCACAGAGTGAACAGACATGCAAAGGGACTAGCTGCACAAAACCCCCTGTAATTAGAATCTGGAGAAACAGGAGAAAGGCAAGAGAAAAGAAAGATGTGACAAGGAGCTGAAGCACCAATGAAGGGTTTGAAACTTAGAAAATGTCATAATGACATTTGTCCATTATCTTAATTCATTCCTTTCTTTCGCATGCAATTATGAGCAAGCTCTACTTCAGGTGAACCCCTCTTATTTTGAACCTGGGCTCATACTTCCTCAGTAGACAAAACTGTCCTAGGACTTCCTGTCCTGCTCAGGCCCAGGAAGTAAAGGATGCTGTTGTACGTGGTACTTCTGCCTTGTTTCTTACAAGTATTGAAAGGGAAAGGATGCCTTCTGCTCAGGGCAGCTAAGTTCTGGCTTGGAGAAGCAGAGCCCGCCTCTGACTGCCAGAGTTCTTGAGTGATGTTGCACAGTCCCTTACATTAGATGTTTCACAGGTGGTCAGTAACGGTGTGCTTCTCATTTCTGAATGCCCACCTCAAGATCTTGAGGAC